AGGTTCATCTTATGCTGGTATGGAACTCCATTCAAGCCCCTGAGGCTTAACATAGCACTAGTAAAAAGAGAGAATTAGCTATAAATTATCTGAGTCTCAAGACAGAACAATCTCCATTTTGACAGCTCCTTGCCAAATGCTACAACACTTTCTGATGAGGCCTTGTGGTGGATACCTCAGTGGACATAGTGCAGGACAAGGGCTCCAAAGAGCTCAGTTCTACAGACAGGGTGGCAACCAACTTACCAAATTATTTTCAACAGGACTCCCCTTCACTGCTCATTGCCTGTAAGATGGGAGAGCTCTGAGATCTCTGCGTGAAAACAATAGTGTAGGAACTTGGAACTATTTCTCCAGCACTAAGCATTAGTAACAGGTGCAGTAATGTCACTGTCTTCACAGGAAAAAATCTGCCCCTGCCCATTCTGTCACAATCCAGGACTCTGGATTAAAAAAATTTGCTTAGATGCACAATTTTTATGGAACATGAAGTGCGCATAGGGAGGAAGTGATACTAAGCTCTGAGCATGGGAAAATTTTATTCTGAGCAGTGGCTCCCAAGAAAATAAAGACTGCATGAAACAAAATTGAAATGGAACTCCCCATTGTAAATTCAGCTCTTAGTACCTGCCAAAGAAATGAGAAAATCTCTACCCACAGGGAATGGTTGTCCTTGTGAAAAAGTGCCAGCCTTTCCCAATGAGGGAATTCACACAGATACACATTCTGCTTCAGTGACAAAACTTTTTCTCTCAAGGTCTAAAGGAATTTCCACTAGCCTCCCTTCTTACAGCTCAGTCTCCAGCTGGATTTCCTTCAACTATAAAAATATACATAGTGTAATTAGCCAACCTTCACAGACTCTGTGGTTCTTTTATGCATGCTAGGCACATCTCCTGCTGTGAGCAGCCCATCCAAAGCTAACTCTGAACTGGTCTTTTGTTGCTCATGTAGAGTATTGCATTGTCCAATTTCATCATTCCTGGCACGGCAGTGTACTCCTGCAGCTTTGCCACAGGAGGAGGAGAAGAGATGATGAAGCACTTTGTCCAGCTGGTGTGCTGGACATCTCAGATGCACAAATACGCTTGCCTACCACTAACTATGGGACTTTGCCAGTCACCAGAGAGACCTTTATTTACCAGTTGTGCCCATAGGATCTTACTTGGAAAATCTCTCTAATCTAGTCAGTGGTCTGGAGGGACAGAAGGCAGAAAAGATGGTAAGAAAGGACTGCATGAAAAGAATTTAAAAGAAATAATTTTTAAAAGATTTAAAAGCAAGACCATATTATGACACACCTTTGAATGATGTTTGCTGAACTGAAAAACCCATGTCTCTATGGTTAAAAACACCATGGAGACAACATAACTGGGTCAACCCAAAATATATCCACGACGACGAGAGAGTGTAGCATTTTGCTACTTTAGTAACAAACATTTTTATAATTTGTAGTTTGAGCAAACTGCAAAGGACTACACTACCCTATTTCCAAATACCCATTGGAACACTCTTACTATTTCTGAAATAAATTAGTCAAATACTATAGAAAATGGGACACAAAGCTGAGCATGTGATTTTCAAGGAACCATTCGCATTTCTTCACTTGTCTTTGACTGGGTACTGTTTTGGGTAGGAAAAGAGGGGGTCACACATCAAAAAGTCCTGCTCTGCTGATCTAAAGAGGAAGAGACATTTCATTTTAGAACAAAGAATTAGATTTTTTTTTTTTTTACATTGCTTCACTGGAGGTTTTTGGAGGTTTTTCTTGGGGTGATGGGGGTGGGGTGTTTGGCTTTGCTATAATACAGCACATCAAAGTGCTTTTGATGTGAAGTTTACTTAACAGAATCAGTTTTTCCGATGATTGTGTTAATCTTTATAAACCTGAAGGCGATACTGTGCCTTTTAAAAAACTATAGCAGGAAAAGGCTTGAGGTTACATATACTCTCAGTGGTGAGAGACAGAAGTAGTTGGACTATTTCACCACTTCTTACAACTTTGCTCGTTGTTTCATGAACAGCAACAGCAATGAGCTTGACATTGCTCTCACTCAGGCCAAGAAGGCTCTACTTAAACCATGCATGGTCCTTTCACAACCACCTTTGTATGTTTTCTCAGGGAAGAGCCACCACAGATTTCAAAGTTCAGTTTACACCATGCACTGGCTGAGAGATACCAGAGGCCTTGAGCCGCAACAAGAAGCAGCACTGATCTTAGAAAGGTTCCTCCTCCCAGCCATTAATAGCTATCTTCGTATTATTTTGAGTACAAGCTTCTGTCCCCTCTTAAATCTTGCAAAACCAGCTTTGCCATCCACTCCTAATCTTGAAGTATGGCTGTGAAAAAGCTTCTGTTATGTCTGACGTGTTTACCTACAGCATTTGAATGACTTTTTAAGTTCTTTGAATAAAGATAAGAGACAATGTGTACATTTTCCACACAAATAGTGGAACGGTAATAAAATAAACATCAAAGGCAAGCTAGCAAATCATCGCTACTTCAGTGCTATTTACAACAAAAGCAGGAAGAGGAAAAAAACCTACCCTTACCATTGGCATCATCTTAGAAAATATGAGTTTTGGAAGGAATGATACTTTTTTTCCCATACCCTTAAATACAAACATTGGCACCTACAGCTAAGGCAACACTTTACTGAAAGATTTTGGTTTACATTACATGGAGACAACAACAACAAGGAACCAAGAGAGGTCTCCCTCCTCTTAGTTTTGTCTTTCAAATCACTGAATTGCCTGTTTTTCTGAATTGGTACAGCTTTAGTGAGAACAGCAAGACACCGAATGTACTATTATTAATAAAGTTTTCAAAAGTGCAACCAGAGGGAGAGAAGAACCTGTCACTGTTCAGTATTTACCACGTAAGACTCATGCAGACTGAAAAAATGGCAACACTTTGAAACAAAATGCAGGTGTGTGTGGGAACGTATATTCCATTCAAGAGAGATCAAGATAGAAAGTAGCACTGTTTGTTTCTCCTCTTAGTCTTTTAAACCTGCCTTTTTTTCATCTTCAACATTTCTTGAGAGTCAGACCACAACAGCACTGTCCTAACCAGAGTGACTCTGAATTATGTATTTAGGCTAAAATAAGGTTGGATTTGGAAAGACTGCTTTTGGAAAATATGGAGCAATCCAACTCTTACTCCAGGACACAAAATTCAAAGTATACATATGAGAAATAAAACATAAGCACCAGAGCAGATTTCTGCTGATGTTTTTGTTACTGTTTTGCAGATGCTAGCGCTACTGCCGTGTGAAGTCAAATGGCATTTTGCAATTGACTTTGAACAGTGAGTAGAACAAGGAGTTTTCAAAGCTACTACCATATAGCTCTCTTCATTGAGCTGTTCTGCCTATAGTAATGTTTAGGGACAAAAAAACTCCAAAAGAGGGCAAGACCCTGACAAATTAAACCTAAAAATAAACCCAAAACCAACAACTAATTTTTCTGGAAAGAAAAGTGTCTGGGTCAAATTACAGAATATTTTTTCTCTCAGGTTTTATGGAAGATTTATAGATCCACAGTGTTTTAAAAAATGTTAAAGTTACTATTTAAAAAACCCAAAACTAACAAACCAACAAAAACAACAACAACACCCCCCAAACAAACAAACAAAACAAACAAAAATTTTTACTGGAGTGTGACAGTTGTAAGGGAGGTTACAAAAACATCATTCAAAAGAGATCAAGCAACACTACTATATGCAGAGTAACATACCTAAAACTAAGGTTAAGGTTTTGACTAAATCTCTTGTAGCAAAACCCCAAAGAATTGCCTACCTGTTCCCATTCTATCTCTGCACCAGGTGTGCTTGTGACAGAAGGAAAGAGGGACCCAGACTGTATTTTGTCAGACTACATAAATCATTAGGAATTCACAACTGCGAAGCCATGTATTATTTTCCAACAGGTTGTTGAGTTGTCATATTACAACGTGTTGCTTTATACGGCGCTATTAAAATAAATCACTGCACGTAACAGGTTCAGCTCTGCCACCTATAAGTCATTTTGCATTTTACACCTGGGAGGCGGGCCCGGCTCTGCGAAGTCGCGCCGAACTGCGGCTTCGTTCGAAATACCCGGGAAAGGGAGGGACCTGGCAGGAGAAAATACAAACAAGTTGCGTAAAATAACTTTCCAACAAGACCTCGCTGTCATCTTGGCTAATTACGGCTCTGATACGGCTTATTAGGGCATACCCACCTTTGCTACCTTGCTTCTCCACCCACCACCCTTTCAGATCTTTGTCCTGGCTCCGCCTCTCGCCGGCGTTATAATGGGCTGGTCTGAAAGTGGTGGAGAGACACAGAACCACAGGGGAAGGGAGAGATAATGACAATAACACTAATAACCCTAATAACCCGGCTGCTACCCGCGTCGCAGCGACGAGCCAGCCCGGCGTCCCGGCACTGACGGGAGTCGAAGCCGGAGAGAGCGGAGTAACGCCGACGGCCCTCGAGATCCTCTCCCCGCGCCCGGGGAGCGCCGAACGGGAACAGCGGCAGCGCCCCCGAGAAGGAGCGGGCTCGGGCGGACGCGGAGAAGAGCCGGCTCCGGCAGCCGCCCGCCCGTCCTCTCGCACCGGCTCCAGTGGGATCACCTCGCCCCTCTCCTTCAACCCCATGGAGCAGCAAGAGTAAAGAGCGAGAAGGACAAAAAGGGGGGCGAAAAGAGAGCGAGCGCCCCGGTAGAGGAGAAGCAGGTGGAAGCCGGAGGAGTCGGGAGGCAGAGCACCGCTGCCCGTCCTCCGGCACCCACCGGCCGGGAAGGGGCAGCCCCCTGCCAGTGACCCCGGGCCGGCTGGCTGAGGCGGGCGCTGAGCCCCGCTGCCCTGCTGTGCCCTGCCCGCCTTGCCAGCCGCTGCGGAGCTGTCCAAGCCTGCGCGGGGACAGAAAGCCCCTGGGTCGCCTCGCCGCCTCCCGTGAGGCCGCGCTGAGGGGCGGGGGTCTCGCCCGCCCAGCGGAGCCGCGGGGTGCGGGGGGGCCGCCGGCGCCGCCGCCATGAAGCTGGAGGTGTTCTCGCAGCACTATGAGGACAAGCTGAGCGCCGGCAGCGACCAGGAAGGCAGCGGCTCGCTCTCCCCGGCTCCCGCTGACAGCGAGCTGGGCTCGGACGGCGACTGCGCCGCCAACAGCCCGGGCGGCGGAGCCGGGCGACCCGGGCACCCTCCGCCGCCGCCCCCGACCCCGCAGCCGCCGCCACCGCCGGTCGAGAGTGCCAAGGGGAAACCCTACACACGGCGGCCGAAGCCGCCGTACTCCTACATCGCGCTGATCGCTATGGCCATCCGCGACTCGGCCGGCGGCCGCCTGACCCTGGCCGAGATCAACGACTACCTGATGAGCCGCTTCCCCTTCTTCCGCGGCGCCTACACCGGCTGGCGCAACTCGGTGCGCCACAACCTCTCCCTCAATGACTGCTTCGTCAAGGTGCTGCGCGACCCGGCGCGGCCCTGGGGCAAGGACAACTACTGGATGCTCAACCCCAGCAGCGAGTACACCTTCGCCGACGGCGTCTTCCGCCGCCGCCGCAAGCGCCTCAGCCGCGCTGCCCCGCCGCCGCAGCCCGCCCGCTCCGCCGCCGCCCCGCCGCAAGCGCCGCAGGAGGCGGCCGGGGCGAGAGCCGCGTCCCCCGGCGGTTCCCCGCGGTGCTGCTGCGCCTCCTCGCCCTGCAACTGCGCGCAGGGTGCCAAGGAAGCCGCGGCGGGGGGCGGCGGGGCGAGGCCGCCGGGCGGCAGCGCCAAGTTCTCCAGCTCCTTCGCCATCGAGAGCCTCCTCCAGCGGCCGGCAGGACCCCGCGCCGCCCCGCAGCCGCCGCCGACACCGCACGCCCGCCTCCTCTGGCCGGCGCCGCCCGCGCCCCCGCACCTGCTGCCCGGCCCCTACCCGCTGCTCTCCTACCCACCTGCCGCGCAGCCCCCGCCCGCTGCCGCCCTCTACGGCGGCGGCCTCCTGCAGCTCTGCGCCTACGGGCTGGGGGAGCCGTCGCCGCCGCCGCTGCTGCTGGGGGGCGGGCGGCAGGCGCTGTCCCCGGGGGAGCCGCCGCCGGAGCGACCGAGGGTGCCGCTCTTCCCCGCCGCCCTCGCCAAGGGCGGGCGGGGGCCGCCGCCCGTCTCCCCCTCTACGGGCCTCTCCGGCTGGCCGGGCCGCTGCCGCCGGCGGCGGGGGGCTCGGCCTCGTTCCAGCCGTACGCCGTGGAGACCCCTCTGGCTTAATGGAGCCCCCCTCCTCCCCTGCGAGGGACCTGCCCGGGGAGGCGTGGAGGGGGAAAGGAGGAGGCTCTGGATACCGCACTTTAACTCCAGAGGCGACCAAAGCCTCCAAGCAAAAGCCTCGGTGACTGTGCCTTAGTGAAAAGACAGTAGGGTTAACTTAAACCAAAAAAAAAAAAAAAAAAAAAAAAAAAAAAAAAAAATCAAACAACTGTCGGTTTGGACATAGCCATGAGCCTCAAGTGCTTCTTACTGTTCGTTGAGACTACTTGACTTCAGCCAGTCCCTCCGCCACCTCCTTTCTGTCCCCCCCGTCTCGTTCCCACGTCTCCTGCTACAGATGCCTTGGGCAGCAGAGCGGGGAGTGCCCTGCGGAGGGGCGCGGTGGCGGCCGCAGGGGAATGCGCTGTGCGCTTGGGAAGGCCGGGTGGGTGAACGGGGCCTGGGGAACCTGCTGGGAAGAGCAGGGAGAGAGGAAGGGAGGGGGCCGGGGCTGCTGTGGAACCGTAGGTCTGTACTGCAAAGCAATGCATCACTGTGCCAAAAGTAAATCTTTTCTCCTGTCCGGCAACTAGCATTTCGTGGGAAGGGAGGACATTAAATTATTTATAAAAGTAGTGTTTTTAACACAAAGAGAGTGCAGCTTTTTTAATTATTGGAGGGGGTGGGCGGGGCGAGAGAGGGGAAAGGGCTCAAGGAAGTGTCAGGGGTTGTCTCCTGTACTGGCTGGTGTTCTACGTTTATGGCCAAGACCACTGCTACTGGAAAGAGAAGAGTAATTTTTTTCGTATTTTATTTCTGTGTTTGTATATAATATATGTGCGTGTGCATTTTATTGACACTCGGCCACCATGTTTTTTCCATTTTTTTTTCCTTTCTCCTTTCCCCCGAATAAAAGCTGCCCACTAAATAAAGAAGATAATAAGGAGAAGAGCGTGATGTCTGTGCTGGCGTGGAGGGGAGGGAAGCTTGTCGTGAGACAACGTTGGCCGAGAAGCTCGGCTCGGGCTGCCCGCCCTTACATCCCCATCCCTGCCAGCGGGTAGAGATGCCACGTACGGACCCGCCTTATTTCGGTCACGGGAGATGAGAGAGGTTCTCCTCCTGAACAGCCGCCAGGTTTGGAAGTCCTCTGCAATTCCTCGAGTCAGATCAGATTTTCGCGCCGCAGCTCAGCGCTCCGGAAAGGCTGGCGATTTGCAGGCAGGTAGATTTGTACGGCGGGCTGCCCGACTTGGGGGCAGCCTGCGGGAATCCTGATCATCTGCCTGCCTTTTTTTTCTTCCCCCTTTTTTTTTTTTTTTTTCCCCACGAAGGAGAGCAGACGACATGTAATCCTGTTGTCATCTTTCGGTCCAAAGAAAACTCGCTTCAGGAAGGTCATTGACACTACCGGGCTCCGGCTGCTTCTGGTAGAGGCACCTGAAGGGGGTGAAACCTCAGCGGGGTGAAGACTAGGGGGTATTTGCTGGCAATAAGCAGTTTGCACGCATTGCCTTCTCCCGACGGGCGTTATGTTAAGGCTGATTCGTATTGTCAGAAGGGATCAGGAAAGCCTAAGAAAAGCTAAGTCTGAAAAAAGAAAGTTAGGGGTCTAATTGCCCGTAGTACTGAATGACAAATTAGTGGCGTCTCCGCACGTGAAGAGTTTATACAAGAGCCGAAATGATAATTCAGGGCTCGTTTGTTTGGTTGGTTGGTTTAATTAAACCTTTAAAAGGTATGAAAATCGGCAGGCTTTTTCCCTTTCAAGTCTTCTGTAAGCACAGATCACCTAAAACCATGACAAGCAGAATATTGGGCTCTGGTTGTTCTTTTTTCTAATTACACTAGTTTCGAACACTGGACTTTCTCCCCCTCTTCTTTCCTCAGCACCGAGGTTCAGCAGCTGAATGGCTTCTACCTTATTCGCAAAAAATTGTTCAGAATAACGAAGGTGTGTTGTGAAAGGAAAGCTTCAAACAAAACAATCTGCGGCCGAAAAACTGACTTGTTTCAATACAGCTCAAGCAGATTTCACGGTGTGTTTAGCTCAGACTATAACATTCAGCAGAACATTGAGAGATTAGTGACTAATGTATGAAGTAATCCAACCTTTGCAGGAATTGGTTTTTATGTACACACACGCGTGCATACACACACACACACACAATTTCGATCTCATTCTGCCTTCAAGGCTCTGTGCAAATACTACTCTTTCCTCCGGCTTGTATTTTACTTTTTTTTTTTTTTTTATATATATATATAGGAGTCCACATGACCTGTCAGTATACAACTGCTAATATCTTCTGATTTTGTAGATCTGTAAAGATCATATTTCAGGGTATGCTAAAAGCACCTTGGCGGAAAGTGGAATTTGTTAGTACAGCCACAAGTATGTATTTTAATCGGATGTATTTAAGTGTGAGTAGGACTGAATTTGTGTGTAAATGTATGCTTAATAAGATGACATAGGACTTTTTAATTTTAGAACAGTCCATTTTTCATTAAAAAAAAAAGAGCACTTAAAAAAAATAAAAAGAAAAGCCCACAGAATTCGAGATGTGCCTTGTTAATAAGGATTCTATATTCTATCAAACTCGATTTTTTTATATATCGAGAAACGCACGCCAAGAGTATAGTATCAGTTATATCTGCGTCCTCGCGGTCCTTTCTTAGTACTTGTTTGGATTTCCCCTGAAGGTCGGCATGAGGACTTGAGGGGTCCCCGAGGCGGGGCGGTAGGAGGTCGGGCAGGTACCGCCCGCTGTCTGGAGCCCGCTCGGCGGCGGAACTGGCGGGGCTTTCGCTTGCTGAAACGTAGGGTCTTCTCCGCCTCCTCCTGTTTGAGCATCATCCTCCAAAGAGGAGGCAAGGGACGAATTTCCTTCTGTTGACCTTCGGGTGAAAATCGCCCCATTCGCGATACTGCTCTGACCACGCCCGCGCTTCCACACGCAAGTGGACGTATGGGAAGGAAGAACCCGTCGGTGTGTCTGCTGTCACACGAGGCAGCGGCATGCATCTCCTGAGCGGGCAGGGCGGCGGGAGAGACCGGCCTGCAGCCACTGCCTGGCACCTGGAGTGGAGCTGGCGGAGGAGGATGGCCGGCCCTGGTGCACAGCCATAAATCCGACCTGTCAGCTGTGACAGACGGCTGGTGAAACACAGCACCTGTCCAAACACTTTCCAGCAGTAGGTAATCAGAGAACTGACACTTTACATTTTTGTGTAGAACAAGCGCATTAACCGTTTCGCAAACCTTCCCAAAACAGAGATGTTTGTGTGTCTGGGTGTTTTGTCTTTCTTAATGTCTAATGAATCAGGATGACAGAAGAGAGACAAAGCCTTTTTCCTTGTGATATTTGACACACCAGCAGCAAGCCAATACTTTGGCACGCTGCTCTTTCAGCCCTACTAGTGTCTGCATCTGTTTGTTGAATGGGTGCAGTTTGTGGTACTTAAAGATTTTTACACGTCCATAGGCAAAAATTAGGTCAGAGGCACAGAAAGCCTGGCTGGAACAGGGAACAAAATAGTCTCTTCAGCAGCATGTAAGAGTACCTGAAAACATCCCATGCTGTCTGCTCCAGCCCCTCTGCAGTTTCTTTGTGTGCTTGGTGGAAATCCCAACCTAAGCAGGATTGCACATGAATTCAGAGTCAGACTGGACCCTGGTTTTAAGTGCATTTTTGAAAGGAGATTTGGCTTTCCAAATAAATATATTTTGTTCCTGAAACTTTTTCCCCCCATGACTGTTTCCTCTCTTTCAGGCTTGGAATGTTTTAACTTGCTTTAAAGAGAAAAATTATTCATTCCTGACAATCAAAAGATTTTCATCAAATACTTTGGGCAGCTTCTCCCTGTCCTGCCCCGTCCCCCATACACACTCCATGGCAGATAGTGATAAAAATGGTTACCCCGAATAACATTAGTCCTAACCATTCTCCTAAATCTCTTCAAATTTTAACATACTGAGCAAAAGAACTGCATAAATTTCTCCCTTGTGGATTAAGACCAAATTAATACCAAAGAGATGTCTAAGGAGAAGTTTGAGCACTACAGGAATTAATTGCTGGCAAGCATGAAGTCACAGAAGAAATAAGCTTGCAAAAGTGATCAGTAGGTAACTGCTTGCCTATATTATATAGAGTCCATGCAGCAGGATGATGCAGTAATACTATGCCTACTCTCCTCGGTAGTGGAATAAGTGTTTTACTCTTGTATCTTAGTGGAGCTAGGCCAGCGGGGCAGCATTTTGATTGTATTATTTTCCCATCATATTAATTAACTTGATTTTTCACCAAGCAGATCTGATGAAGCCTGAAACTTGCTTTCAGTTTGCCCTCCCAATAACCCATAAGATGTCATACATACCCCATCGGTATCCCTAACCCTTACTCAGGAAGAAATTCACTGAAATCTGTCATTTTATTTAAGAACCACCTCAGCCCAGCACTGCTAGCTACAGGACTCAGTTCAACACAGATCTTCAGTGAAAGCTTCTAAGCAAAAAAGATGCTGAGAGGACTGAAGGAGGTTGGATGGAATTCTGTCTTGGGACCTTGTCAGCTTTTCCTACCTCAAAATCTTTTGAAAAGGTGATTCTTAAGGGCAGGATGTATCAGGCACAGAAGACCCTTAGCAAAAAGAAATTTCACCCCAGAAAAAGGCACATACAAAGGACTCAGCTTCATAGGCCCTTCGACCTTTCAAACTATACCTTAAGTAACCCAAAGTGAAATCTCCTACATAAGAACAAGGACAACCACAGCCCTACATACAAGGGTAGTGCCTCTGAATCAATGTCCAGATTTTGCACAACTCTTCATTGAGCTGGGGGAGGTGTTTAATTTAATAACAAGCAAGAGAGTCAGTCCCTTTGTTGTGCCAGGCTTTTTGCCTTTTAAGTCTGAAGAAGACATAAAAACAAAGTTGAAATCCACCTCCAGCCAAATTCAAGGCACTAAGTTGTGATTTTGGCAAGGGTGCTTGTATCCTATTGCAACTTTGATGAGCAGTACAGTAGCTCTTTAATGATGGGGTGGATATGGTTCCATCTTTCATTTACATCCTGGAGAAGAAATATTTTCCTCTTGGATAAACTCTCCTGTCTTCATTGACACTCTCCAAAGCCTCAAAACCAGCTCCAGGGAAGACATCTATGAAGCCCAAATACCCCATAATAAAATCAGACAAACAGCTACAGAGCACCAAGTTCTTTCTAAACACTCAATCCTGTATTACTGCATCATTGTTTAGGATATATATTGACAGCTTCAGAAAGCCAGTAATTTGCATAGTTTCCAGCCCTGCATAGCATCCAAATATTGCTCTTGCTTTCAGAAAGTTATACCTCCATAGATCTGGGTGGACTAAGCCTTTGTCCTCTTTTCCAGAGCCAGAGGGGGAGAGTATGAGGAAAAATTGAGAGAACACACTGTTATTATATTTGTACTCTTGCACCACGGTATTGTTTTCTTTGTTATGACCTATTTCAAAATTTCAGAGCTCTTTCAAGCAGCATGGCATACTAATAACCTCCCTTGCTATGGGGAAAAGCAATGCTTTTGTGGGTTCTTTCCTCTCCTTAATAGCAGAGAATATTCAAGATGGAGCAATACAACTCTACTCTTCAATACAGTGTGTTGAGCAGCGTATGTGGCACTAAGGACCACAAGGAAAAAAACA